TGGTGTGGACGGTGAGCTGTTCAGAAACGCTGGGTAAAACGCTAGTGTGGACGTGGATCGTTTTCATTCTAAAACGCTGTTTTAAAACTAAAACGCACTAGTGTAAACGGGGCCTAAGCCCGACCTAACAGTCTACTTATAATCTAATGAGAATTAGATGCAATGTAATTTAAGTTTAACAAACGGACCCTCAAAATAAAGTGTGACCCAGTTTAATTTTAATTATGTTCCAGAGACTTATGATAAAATATAGCTAGCATTTGACAAAGAAGAACTTCCAGAATCTCTCCCAGTTCAGTGCTGGATTTGGCTAAAAACTCCTCCAACCGTAATAGGCGAAGCTGTGAATTTTGAGTCACAACCTGTAGGTATTTTATTTGGTAAAATTGATCTAATACATGCAAAGAGTCTAGCGTTAATGGTATGTTGTAGTGAGGACATAAACAAGGATGTAAACAACAGGAAATGCTGTTTGGCACCGCTAACAATTTAGGTGCAAATTCATATTTATCCGCTCTAAACAGCCACAATCTTCACCTCTTTATGAGGATGCTTTTCCTGTGTTCTACATCTCAAATAACCAACTCGCAAAAGATTTGTGAACGTTTCATATTACTTACACATGCTTATTCCGAATATAAATGAAAGACACTTGTCAGATTTTATTTTAGAGCGCAGACATGAGGTTCAGCTGTGTGCTCTTTATTTTGATTTAGGCAGCTAACGCTGCTAACAGCTGCTTTGACTGGACTGTTTACACAGTGCAAAAGCTTGTGCTTGTAGGGGCTTGACATGGTGATGTGGAGCCGATCCTTGAAACTCAGCACATTATATTAGCTGTCCAATCAGAGTCTCATGAGAATGGGCCTTTTACTAGGAAATATGACAGTTGTTTTCATGTTAGCTGAGTAGCTGTGTATAATCAAAGTAAGATATATGAAAAAAATAACATGATTTTCTACAAGTGAAGCATGAGCACACATTGCTTTGCATCTTACAAACACCACCAAACCTAAAAATATACCGTGAACCACCTCTTTAAAGCAAATCAAATGTAAAATCTGTTTTATAAAAAATGTTTTATTATTTTAAAAATACTATTTCTTGTAATAAATATTATCAATAATAGTGTAAATTATAACTATATCAATTGTAATAATTTTATCAAATAAAAAATCTTTTACATTTACAAAATAATTTTAAGTAGTTTTACAATGTTGAATAGTTTAGTCTAATATTTTATGCTTGTTTTGTAGTTTAAAGCTGTTTCTGTAATTGTGTAGCTGATTTTTTTCAGTTTGTTCAATCATAAGACCTAAAAAAGTTATAATTAAATAAAACTAAACCCTTTTTGTTAATTGAAATAAAAAAAGAATAGACCTATTTTAATGTAAACTTATTTTTATTTAATATTTTATTTAGTAGCTATTTTTGAATGCAGCGTTAAATTGCATAAAATTAGCTTTTTGTTACAATTATTTAGAGTAGTAGTTATAATTTTTCCTTCGTTTCCCCCTTCAGGTTGTGTTTTAGACAGACCGCAGACTAATAACCTATTTGAGAGTAGGCAGGTAGATCAATAGCATTTATCACATTGGCAGATGTCCAGTGACCCGAGCAGACGGCATCAGTGGCGTCTGTCCCGGGTCAGGCCTGTGATCAATACATGATCACACTTTGAACTATTACACCTAATATTACGCCAGTGTTTACTTTCTTTATAATAAACTGGATAGGATGGAATCCACTTCAAATATTAGTAATCTGAAACAAAGCAATGCATATCAAGCAGCTCCTCCCCTTTAAAAAAAAAATCAAATACCATTTTTTTTTCGCAGCACAAGCAGAGCCTTTGAACTTTTTAAAATGTTTTTTATGGATATAATTGTTTTTTTTTTCATAATGAGCTGCAGCTGTTAAATTGTTTACTTCTCATGAAAACAATATCATTTCTTAATTGACATTGGTCCCGGAGAGCATACCTGGAAACCCAAAACCCAATGGCGATTTATCACATATTAAATGAGTATATCACAACTTAAGCCTGGATCATACCGAACAAGTGATTTGTAGTGATAGGTGCCATATTTAAAAACGTTTTCTATTGCCAGTAAGTGTTTTAACCCCCTGCTGCACCTTGTGTTTTTGACAGAGTGCTCTTTGTGCCTGCAGTTGAAAAAAGTCAACTCTGTGCAGAAAAAAAACACACAATGTCATGTGCTTCAGCACCAATATCATTGATATAGTGGTTACCTAGCAACATAAAAATCACAGTGCACTGCTCTGAGCCATCGTGCCACCCCACCTCACATTTTTAAAATTGAAAAATTCAATCATTGTGATCAGCCCCTTAAAAATGTTTTTATTTAGTGTGCATACAGTCAGTCAGTGATTCAACATGTACACTGCATATGTATATTACAAAATATCACAGAAGATGTGATAAACCTTTTCCTTCGTGGGAATCCAGCAAATATTTCTCGTTGGAAAAAAAATTATCAACTTTCCATTTCTTTAGGGATCGTTTTGTGTTTTTCTAACACAAAACTGGTGTCAACTGGTGTCAAAAAAATTACTTTCAATAAGTTTGAGTTAATTTATTAATGCACACTTTAAGAACCAGGTTTGCCAAAAGTGTTGTTCACACAAATAGATAAACAAATAAACAAATAGATAAATAAATAAACAAACAAAAAGTAAATTAAATAGATAAATAATTAAATAAATAAATAAGTAGATAAAGAAATAAACAAACAAAAATATAAAAAATAGATAAACAAATAAATAAAAGGATGAATAGATAAATAAATAAACCAATAGATAGATAGATAGATAGATAGATAGATAGATAGATAGATAGATCGATCGATAGATAGATAAAAAACAAACAAATAAATAAATTAACAGATAAATAAATAAACAAACAAGAAGTTGAATAAATAGATAAATAAATAAACAAATAGATAAATAAACAAATAAATAAATAGATAAATAAATAAATAACTAAATAGATAAATAAATAAACAAATAAATAGATTGTTGAGTCCTGAATGGTTGCTAGGGTATTCTGAATGGTTGCTAGGTGGTTGGTAAGGTGTTGTTGGGTGGTTGCTAAGGTGTTGCTTGGTGGTTGCTTGGCGGTTGACAAGGGTTTGCTAGGTGGTTGCTAAGGCATTGCTAGGTGGTTTCTAAGGTGTTGCTAGGTGGTTGCAAGTTATTGCTATGTGGTTTCTAGGGTGTTCTGAGTAGTTGCCAAGGCGTTGCTAGTGTGTTTTATGTGGTTGCTAAGGCATTGCTAGGAGGTTGCTAAGGTGTTGCAAGGCGGTTGCTAGGGTGTTCTGATTGGTTGCTAAGGCGTTGTTAAGTGGTTGCTAAGGCATTGCTAATCGGTTGCTAAGGTGCTGCTAGGTGGTTGTTAGGGTGTTACTAAGGTGTTGCTAGCTGGTTGCTAGGGTGTTCTGAGTCGTTTAGGAATTGCTAAGGCGTTGCTAAGCTGTTGTTAAGGTGCTGCTGGGTAGTTCGTAGGTGTTGCTTGTTGGTTGCTAGGGTGTTCTGATTAACTGCTCGGCAGCTACTATGGCGTTGCTTGGTGGTTGCTAAGGTGTTGCTTGGCAGTTGCTAAGGTGTTAATAGATGGTTGCTAAGGTGTTCTGATTTATTTGCTAGGTGGTTGGTAAGGTGTTGCTGGGTGGTTGCTAAGTTGTAGTTTGGTGGTTGCTAGGTGGTTACTAAGGCATTGCTAGGTGGTTTCTAGGGTGTTCTGACTTGTTGCTAAGGTGACGCTAGGTAGTTGTTAGAGTGTTCTGACTGGTTGCTAGGCAGTTGCTAAGGTGTTGCTAGGTGGTTGCAAAGGTGTTCTAAATAGTTGCTAGGGAGTTGCTAACATGAATTAGCATGGTTCTAGTGTGAATTAGCATGTTGCTAGCATGTTTCTAGCATAAAATAGCATGATATTAGCATGTTAGTATATGTTACTAGCATGTTTCTAGTATAAGTTAACATTTTGCTAGCATGAATTTAGTATGAATTAGTATGTTGCTAGTATGATTGGTAAGTTGTTGTTATATGTCTAATGTAAAGTCAATGGCCGTTTTGTATAATGGAAGTCTTTGGGATAGTGGCTAGGGTGCCGTAGGTGGTTGCTAGGGTGTGGCTAGTAAGTTGAAAGGTCTTCAGTTATTAGCAGATTGGTAATTTAGAGTTAAATGAGCTCAACCTTAAGTCTGAATGACAGTCTGGTGCAAAGTTGTGAGGGCACAAAGTTTGCTCCAATCTTTCTGAATTCTGAATTTTCCAAGTCAGTTTTTCGGAAAACCGTGAGTTCTGTCAGTTGGAAAAAGATATAGCAACTTTAATTCAGTATAGTTTGGAGTTAGTTTGTGTAGTATGATCTATGAGGAGATGCATTCTTAAAATTGTCTAAGGAGAAGAAGTTTATGTAACAGTATGTAGGCTTTCTCTATCCACCATAACTAGAAACTCTACTCGCGATTGCAGTCTTTATTAGATGAAAAACCTAGATTAGATTTTAAAACCTCTACACTCCTATAAGGACAGGACATAGAAGGTATAGGACTCTTCATTTTATTACTTCACACTTTTTAAATGAGACTGTTACACAAAAGCATCCTTCACTTATCCGTGGTTTCACAGTCCTCTCGGTCTAAAAATAAAACGACTGTTTTAGCAGGACAGTGATTCATTCCCGCCTCTCAAGAATCCCTGAATAATTAAAAATCCATAAATGAAGTGCCAGCGTGATCGAGCGTGTTATACATTATAAAGAACATTCTCTTGTCTCGCAGTTTACCCGTGTCTGCGGACAGAAAAATCCGGCCATGTGATGCAGAAAACTGCCGACAGCATCCTGAATCAGGATCATAAATAATGGAGGAGCATCAGCAGGTCCCGGTGGGGGCTTATATTGCATTGCTCTGAGTCTCGCTAATGATAGTGAGAGAGAAAAAGAGAGAGGGAGGGATCTGAGCAGGTCCCGGAGCAGTCGGAGAACTCACACTGAGAAAAACCTGCAGTCATCTCTGCCGCTGGGACGTTTATGGGACACTGCGAAGTGAGTGGGACAGCATGGATGGATGTGGGAAGGACAGACTGGTTGTTTGTTCTGCTGTTTGTCTCTGTGGCTGATTTTTTTCATCTCTCTCTCTCTCTTTCTCTCTCTCTCTCTGTGTGTGGAGTAAAGGAAGGCGGGATATACAGGAGGGAGAGGAAATCACTGATAAATAGGGTCCAGTTAGTCTCCATCTCTCTCCGACAGTTCTCTCGTTCAGCATGGAGCCCAACAGCCCCAAGAAGATTCAGTTTGCCGTTCCACTTTTCCAGAGCCAGTTGGATCCCCAGGCGGCCGAGCATGTAAGTAGATAGAGGATCTTTTATTGCATTGTGCCTAATGGAGACTGGCCTGCGTTGCTCTTTGGGTCTCTTGAGATTGTCTTGAAGCATCAGATCTGATGCCAAAATCAGTTTTATGATATGATGTCATGCACAGTGGGATCGCAGTGCTTAGTAAACATGTAATTTCTTAATTCACACCACTGTAATGGGGGTGAAGGATGAGGGTTGCATGCACTTTAGACCGATGAAGATACTAAACATTTCAGATTTGCTTTTGAAATGTCAATATATGAAGAGTTCAGATGCAAAAACCTCTCAATGCCGTCTGAAATTTTCTCCTAAAGTGGACATTTCTCTCTAGCTCCTGTGTTTGAGTTCATTATATCCCCCTTTAAGGCAAATAATCTGTTCTTTGCATTGCCTTCAAAGTGAAATAGTTGAACACAAACATAGGATCCTGAGAAAAATGCTCACCCTAGAACAAAAATTCAGACGGCACTTAGAGGTTTTTGCATCTGAACTCTTCATATCGTGACTAAAAACAACTGTCATGCATCGAATGGAAAGTTTTTGTGGTTAAGGGTGTGAGTGGATCACAAAAGCATATAGATATTATGTTATTGGGCTTTGTAAAAGGATGCATGCTATAAAACAAGTTGTGCAATTAAAGGAATAGTGGAAAAATGCTACTCTCAATTGGTTACAGATCTTTATGGGTCTCTTTTATCTGTTGAAAACAAAGGAAGATATGTCGCAGAATGTTGAAAAACGGTAACCATTGACATCCACTGTAGGAAAAACAAATACTATAGAAGTCAGTGGTTGTTTGTTTCTAACATTTTTCTAAATATCTTCTTTTGTGTTTAACTGAAGAAGGGAGTGAATGATTACCTGTTTCCAACATTTTTCTAAATATCTTCTTTTGTTTTCAACTGAAGAAAAAGTGAATGGTTATGTGTTTTCAACATTTTTCTAAATATCTTCTTTTGTGTTCAACTGAAGAAGGAAATGGTTACCCGTTTCCAACATTTTTCTAAATATCTTCTTTTGCGTTCAACTGAAGAAAGAAGTGGATAGTTACCTGTTTCCAACATGTTTCTAAATATATTCTTTTGTGTTCAACTGAAGAAAGAAGGAAATGGTTAACCGTTTCCAACATATTTCTAAATATCTTCTTTTGTGTTAAACTGAAGAAGGAAATGGTTACCCGTTTCCAACATTTTTCTAAATATCTTCTTTTGTGTTCAACTGAAGAAAGAAGTGAATAGTTACCTGTTTCCAACATGTTTCTAAATATATTCTTTTGTGTTCAACTGAAGAAAGAAGGAAATGGTTTACCGTTTCCAACATTTTTCTAAATATCTTCTTTTGCTTTAAACTGAGAAATAACTAAATGTTTACCTGTTTCCAACATTTTTTCAAAATATCTTCTTTTGTGTTCAACTGAAAAAAGATAGTCAAACAGGTTTGGAACAAGTTAAGGATGATTAAATGATGACAGAATATGTATTTTTTGGATGAATTACACATGCACATACACACATTGCTTTTTGTGTAATTATATATATATATATATATATATATATATATATATATATGTATATATATGTGTGTGTGTGTGTGCGTGCGTGTGTGTGCGTGTGCGCGTGTGTGTGTGTGTGTGTGTGTGTGTGTGTGTGTGTGTGTATTTCTTTATTAAAATCTTAATTACAACATGACATTATCTAGCTTTAGGCTTTATTTAGTTTTGATGGTGCTTAGAAGGTTTAGTGTTTACCCTTTAGGCAAGATAAACCCACAAATGGCATACTTATAGCAATCAATAGACAATAAATTGGGTTAAGATAATTTATTTTGAAAAGAAAAAAGCCTAGTCCACTTTAGTATTTGAAATTATAGGCCAAAATATATGAAATTATGTCATCATTTGCTCACCTTTTACGTGTTTCAAAGCATTATGAGTTTCTTTGCTCTGTTAAACACAAAATAAGAACATTTTTAAAAATGCTGGAAACCAGCAACCATTAACTTTCATTTAAAACTTTCATTTGTTTTCCTACTATGAAAGTCAGTGGTTACAAGTTTTCAGCTTTCTTCAAAATATCTTCTTTTGTGTTTCAAAACTTATACGTAGTATAATATAGTATAATTTAATCGATTTTTGGAATTTTGGTGTTTAATAGATATTTTGAAAATCTCTAAACCTTCATAAAGGGTTGAAAAAGTCATGATGGAGATTTTAGCACTTAGTAAAAATGGATTTTTTTAATGCACACCTCAATAAATAATTGAAAGAGGTGTATGTACTTGCAAGGAGGATATTAAGCAATTATTGTTTTCCTTTAAAAGTGTACTCTATTATGTCATTTACAGTAAGTTTGTTCAATAAAAAAATGACTATGATAATGCAATGAGATTCAGTTTATGATAGGGTGAGCATGCAAAAAGCATCACAAAAAATCCATCGTTCTTTGTAATATTGCAATGCATCCTATGGAACGTTGCGCACAGAAGTGTATGTATTGTTTGTGGTTTATTTATATGTAGAAAACATGGTTGTCAGCTAGATTTTGCCCTTAGTCTTTTAATTTAATGTAAAATGCCTGTACCACTGTTGGGGAAAGTGGTGGTGGTTTTATGCAGCGCAATCATTGATTTTCATAACATAAAACAACAATGCTAATGTGAAACTGCATTACAAACAAAATGTTCTTGCAAACTTTGAGAACTTGCCATTCATGCAGCAGAATGGTATAGCACAAGTTAAGCTCAAGTTTAATGTGTGTGTAGTTAGGGGGTTGTTCATACACGTAATCCTACATACAGATGCTTGCTTTAGCTAAATATAAAACAATATCAGGTAGAAATTGCTCTTTGTGAGTTCAATCATAAAAATAATAATAAATTAAATTAGGGAGGCACCGATATTGATTTTTGAGACGATATTGATAACAGATAACTTTTTTAGATTTGGAGACCGATAACCAATATATTAGCAGATAAATATAAAAATTTCAGAATATTATATTTTTATGAAGTTAACAACTGATTTTATTTTTAAAACTTCATGAAAAAGAGCAATAATTTCAAAACTGCAAAGTGATTATATAGACCTATATCATTCATTCATTCATTTATTTTCTGCCACTTTTTCGGGGCCGGGTCGCGGGGGCTGCAGTCTTATGAGAAAACCCCAGACTTCCCTCTCCCCAGACACTTCCTCCAGCTCCTCCAGGAGGATCTCAAGGCGCTCTCAGGTCAGCCGAGAGAAATAGTCCCTCCAGCGTGTCCTGGGTCTTCCCCGAGGCCTCCTCCCGGTGGTACATGCCTGGAACACCTCCCTACGTAGGCGTCCATAAGGCATCCAAAACAGATGCCCGAGCCACCTTAGCTGACTTCTCTCGATGTGGAGGAGCAGCGGCTCTACTCCGAGCTCCTCCAGGGTGTTAGAGCTCCTTACCCTATCCATAAGAGTGCTCCCTGCCACCCTTCGAAGGAAACTCATTTCGGCCGCTTGTATCCGAGATCTTGTCCTTTCGGTCATGACCCAAAGCTCATGACCATAGGTGAGAGTAGGAATGTAGATTGACCGGTAAATCGAGAGCTTTGCCTTTCAACTCAGCTCCTTCTTCACCACAACGGACCGGTAAATTGACCGCATTACTGCTGCAGATGCACCGATCCGCCTGTCAATCTCACATTCCATCCTTCTCTCACTCGTGAACAAAACCCCAAGATACTTAAACTCCTCCACCTAGGGTAAGGACTTTCCTCCAACCTGGAGATGGCAGACCTATATCAATTTCACATAATTCAGCATGCCAAAAATAGATTATTTCTTTTCTTTGCTTAGCAAATTAACATAATAGGTTTCAAGAGTTCACACTTAGCGGATGATTGATTATAAAGCTTATTTGGCATGCTGTCCCAGGAGAGAGCCCTGAGCTCATAAGATTCTAGAGCCCGGGGCTCCCTCCTGTTTGCAAGGCAAGAGGGGAGTTTGAGCTCAGGTAGATCTCGAGAACTCCCCTGCTGTAGTAGCTTATGAACAGATAGTGATTGCTCTTAAGAGATGACTACTTACTAGGAGCATGTCTATGGTGCTGATTTGGATTAGTCAATTACCTTAAATGCATGTTTTTATATGGTGGGAGGAAACCGGGGATCCCGGGGGAAACTCATGTGAGCACAGGGAGAACGTGTAAACTCCGCACAGAAACGTCAGCTGGCTTGGTAAGGACTAGAAACAGTGACGTTCTTACTTTGAGGCAACAGTGCTAACCACTTAGCCACCATGCGACCCATCTAGGAAAGGAGGAGTAGAGGTGGAAGGGGGGATTCTTCAAAATGAAGATGGCTGTTATGTGGAACTTGGTATTTATAGTGGCTTAGGAATCGTCTGATTGGTGAATCCTAAATTGAAGAATGCGGGGCCGGCTGCAAGAAATCATGAGCATGTGATCCTCTGCAAATTAGTTTATTAATTAAACTTTACTAAATAAAAAAATGAGAGACAGGCTATTCAGTACAATGACATAATCTAAAGGCTTAAAGATATCGGTCTAATTTTGATATCGGAAAGATAATGATAATGACATGGCCGCCTATATATTGTGCATCCCTAAAAGAAATCCATATACCACTCACAGACACTTGGAGCAAGACATAACTGTAATTTTTTATGCACATCGTAATGATGGGTTGAGCAAATAATGTTTTGCATGCACATTAGCCTATTTAACATTTGTTGTTTTCTTTGAAGATACAGCATTACCAACCAAAATAAAGTTGTTATCGCACAGAACTGCAGTGTAATGAGTGCCAAATTGGTGGCAAAGGATGAAAGCGCATCATAAGTAAGCTATAATCCTGCATTGCGAGCAGCAGAATGCATTTTTACTGTGTTCCAGCTATAGTGGAGCTGTTCATTGATGAGCGGGATCCAGCGTTGCGGCTGCATGCCCAGCAGTAAAAGTGTTTGATGTTGGTGCTATTGCTGACAGTGTCATAACAGGAAA